TTTTTCAATATTAAAAAGCAAACTGAAAAATGAAAGTCTCAAATAAACAATTATTCTATATCAAAAAGTTTACATGATTTAATAATATTTTCAATTTCATTATCTTCTTAAATTTATTTAATTCCACAATAGTTATGTAGAGATTTCTTGAATCAATAGCCCATAGGGATATAAAATCTTTACAGTAAAACTCATATGTACTTACGAGTAAAATGCTAGGCAAAACTTTTAAAATTTTTTAAATATATATATATAACTCTATTAAAAAGGAAAACAACATAAAAATAAATAGTGCACATAGCTAGTATATTTATTAAATTTGTTCACATTCTAATGGAAACTGGAGCATATCTACCGGTGTTACATTCTTTCAACATTTCTAGAAATGCTTTTGAAAGTAGTATTCCATCTTCATTTGGTCATGACATGAAGTCATTGGAGGTTTTGGATTTGTCTAACAATTTGTTGACTGGTAGTATTCCCTCTTCATTTGGTGACATGAAGTCGTTATGGTATTTGGATATGTCTAACAATTTGTTGACCGGAGGAATACCTAAGGAATTGGCCACGGGTTGCATCTTATTAAATCACCTAGCATTGTCAAATAATAGTTTGCAAGGTCAGATATTCATGTAATGTTAAATTCATTCACATTTTTTTTTTTTTTTGGAATCAATAGATTTAGCTGTATTTTATGTTATTGCTCTCCTTGTGTACAAATGTTAAGGATAGTAATGAAAGTGAGCCATTGGTCCGATTTCTTATTCTTTCATTTAGTTGACTATGTGCAACACGAGCAATCAATTAAAACATTCCTTTCTTAACTATTTAAGCAATAAAATATAATATAATTAAACTCTTATAAGTAATTTTGTATTAGGATTCTAAACTATATATATATAAACACATATTAAGGATGCTTAAAAGATTACTAACAACACATAAATAGTGGAATGCATACAAAACTTCATAATCATATTACACCAAAATGCAAATAAAGTGCATTAAAATTATATTATTTCACTAAAAATTATAATAAAGAAAATAAATTTCAAATTAAATAAATAGCATTACAAATTATTATAATATCTAATAAAAAATAAAAGAAAAGCTTTCATCCATGCTTTCATCACCATGTTATCCCTGCCTAAAAACAGTAACAAGATAATGTTAGGATGAGGATTGCTATGGACCATTGTTTGTGAAGTCGCAAGATCAATCGGATCACTCTCCTTCTAACACGTATTCCTCTCCCCATTTAGACTGAATTAGAGTAAGCAAAAGCCTATTGTGTTAACTTTAATTACAAATATGTCAATTACCTTTTATCTTGAGGTTGGGTCGAATCCAAAAAACCCTATGTGATACTTGTAATTACTCTTAACCTCCCTGTGGTACTGATAATGACTCAACCTCTTGTTGTTGGTATCTTTTTGTTACTTTTAACCACAGAAAAGGTAAATGTCCTTAATGCCCTCACCTGCTTTGCCCATTAATTGCAACCCATCCCCTTTACTATCACTTTATCTCTCTTACCTCCAAAACCCATGAATATTACAACTTTTAGTAAGAAAATAGAAAAGAATCTTGTTGGAGTCTCACACCGACTAAGCACGCTCAAGCCTACTAGTTTATAAGAGGGGATAATCCTCCTATTCAACAAGGCCTTATTGGGTGAGGAGTCAGACCCACCTCAAATTCTATCATGGTATCAGAACCCAGGTTCAGTTGAGCTGAGTGCTTAACCAGCGGGTGAGAAGTTAGAGCCGACAACTACCTCCAATAATAGGCATGACCCAACATATGGGCTTGACCGTGAGGGAGGAGTATTGGAGTCTCATACCGACTAGGCACGCTCATGCCTACTGGTTTATAAAGGGGGTAATCCAACCATTAAACAAATAAAAAAAATCTAAAAAAAAAACAAAAAATGAGATTTTTTTTTGAATAAATGAAAAGAATAAGAAATATATGATAATAATTAGAAATAAAATTATCTAAAAATTGAAAAAAATTATGTTTGTAAAAGTTGAAAAAATAATAATAATCTGAAAAAAAAAAAAATTGAACTTGGCAAATATTTTAGATTTTAGCTTTTTTTTTTTTTTTTATATAGGTTTTTGTAGTATTTCTTTTAAGTATTCTTAATTTTTTAAAAAATTTTAAAGTTTTTTTATTCCTCTTTTATTTAGTACTTGTGTTTTAGGTTAAGGATTTGTGTGATAAGTTTTTTTTTTTTTTTTTTTTAACTTTATTAGTTATTTTACATTATTTATTTAAAAATGAGTTGTTAATAAATTTTATGGTAAATTAGTCAAGTTCAAATATAGTTACGGTATTTCATATTGTGTTTGGTCAAATTTAGTCAAGTCCCTTCTTTTTGAGGTTTGTTGGTAGTTTCCAGAGTTTTTGGGATAAACTTATAAGTAGTTTTACAAGTTTTAGGGGTTGTAAATGTATCAACTCTTAGTGATTCTAAAAATTTAGGGTATTTACTCTTTTACCCTTGAATCTGTTAATCTATATACTCTATATGACTGGGACAGAACAAGGAAGGAAGATATCTTGGTTCTTTTGTGAAATTTTAAAATTGGATGCTTTATTCTCTTTATCTTTATAAATTAAAACTCATTCTAATAATGGATAAATGTAAACAAAAATAATATTTAAGAGTTATTTATAGGTTTATTTGTATTTATTATAAATATATAATTTAGATATAAGAAGAGAACCAGTCAACTATCAGAAAAGCATAAATCTTTGAGAAATAGAGAAATCTTTCCTGCCAGGATTTAATAACTATCATGAAACTCTCAGCCACCTCCCCTCAGCACCGTTATCTAACGCCTAGACATTAAAATGATTGGTTATATTGGTCTTTTGACATTATACAATAAAACTCAAAAATTAGAAAATATATGAAGGAAAAACAATCCCTCCCCAAGAAGAAACCCAACATCCCAATCCCCTATAGAAACCCACACCTGTTGTTGGAAAATTCACCACCTTGTTCAATTTTAACAGAGGTATTGGATTCCCCCGAAATAACCCTATTTTATCTTTATTTTTGTATTTGATTTTACCTGGGCCATAACATTTAAACAACTCTAATGAAAATATGGCTCCGTTTGGCATATTATTTCTACTCATATTCTCATTCCTATTCCCAAAATATTGTTTGTTTTATTATTTGAGAAATATTAATATTTTTTCAATTACTTTTAGACCCTTTAAGTTTATTAATTTCATAAATACCCCTAGAAAAAAAAATTTTAAAATTAACAAAAACACCCCCCACCCACCTATACTTGCCAAATGCCGACAACCATCGTCGGTGATAGCCGGAATCTTTCACAACGACCTACAAACGACCAGAGCTGACCCGTAATTCACCGAGCTGACGGCTAAATCTTGGCCATCGTTGATCGACAACGACGACCATATCTTTGGTTGTCGCTAACGGCCAGATCTGGACTTTTCTAACAGTAAATCTGGTCTTTTCCGACCAGATCCGTGGTGGATCTAGCCAGAAAAGGCCATATCGACACCCTACCCGCCAGATCTGACCGGTCTGCGTCGTAACGTCATTTTTTGGCTAGATTTCGGCGGTGGTGGCCGGAATCTGGCACTGTGGGTGGGTGGAGGTGTTTTTGTCATTTTACAAAAAATTTATATATTGGGATATTTAGTTAAATTAGCAAACCTATGGGGTTTTTTTTTATAAATTTTTAAATTTTACCTCGTAATACTCCCCTATTCAACTACCCAATATTATTCCCAAAATTCTATCCAAAATAATAAAACAAATGGACCCATAAATATTTGAGGATTCTAATTCATGTATAAGACCAAGAGCTTGCCTGCACCCATATGTAATAGCGTCCAATCCACGAGGACATAGATTTCAACAGCGATTCACAAGTAGTTTCACCAAATTATTGTAGTTTAATCCAATAGATTCTCATCCTGCTAGATATGATTCATGTATAAGACCAAGAGTTGTCTGCATTCATCTCTAATAGCGTCAAGTCTACAAGGACATAGATTTCGACAACGATTCACAAGCAATTTCATCAAATTATTGTAGTTTAATCCAATAGATTCCCATTCTGGAAAATGTGATTCATGTATAAGACTAAGAGTCATCTGCACCCGTCTCTAATAGCGTCCAGTCCACGAGGACATAGATTTCGACAGCGATTCACATGCAGTTTCACCAAATTATTGCACTTTAATCCAATAGATTCCTATCCTGAAATACTTTCATTAAAATTTGGTTATTGAATTTTTGAGGTTATTAAGTCTCTAAACAATTTTCGACAAGGGTGAAAGTCTCTAGGAAGTTTGGTCCATTCTATCTATAAAAGCCCTTGGAAACCTTTGAAATGCTTTAACTGCAAAGAATTGGGGCATGTCAAGTGCCCGAAGAATACCCATACCCTTACTCAACCTCTGAAGTAGAAGAAGATGGGCAAAGTTGTAATATAATACAGAAAATATGGTTTTAAAATAAGATCAAGAGGAAAGATGGATCCGTGTCAACTCAATTACATTGAAGAGACAATGAGAGAGGGGTTGAAAGACTGAAGGGTCAATAATTTTGCTTCGTTTAACATGCCCTCGGTGTCTGGATAATTACAAGTGAACCCTACAGGTTTCAGATAAATACAATTTATCCCACTCCCATTTCCGGTGAGATTGTATTATTTAAATGTAAAACCCACAAAAGACTAAGCCAGTTTGAAGTTGAACCTAGATAATCCACAAACAGCGCTGCTCAAATGGCCTCCAAAACCTTGCTTCGTCGTTGTTCTTCTTCTTCTGAAACGGTTACGAAAACCAAAATCTCATCTTTGTTCACAAAACCAGGTAAANGAAGTCAAGCAGAGCTGGGACAGAACCAAAAGCTGATTGTTTAATTCTAGAACAGCAAAATTGAATAAGAATCAATGGAGATTCCAGCAGATACAAATGTTAGTTGCATGTTAACTTAACTTGAGTGCAGGTTGATGAAATTACATTCACTCTTCATAAGACAACGTGAGGTATTCCAGCTATGATGGGCCAATATTTTCCTTTATCCTTTGTGCACCTTTTCTTCAGAAGTGGACATCTATAGATATATAGTTCGGAAAGTGAAGCAGGCAGGCCATTCTCTGGAAAAGATTTGAGATTAGGACAATTACGTAGATATAATTGTCCCAAGGAAGTCAAGCTTAGAAGAAAAGATGATAGACATTTCAGTTTCGGAAAATGGGCAATAGACAGGTGATTTAGAGAGGTAGGAAGTAACATTCCTATCTCTTCCTGTGGAAATGACACCACATCCTCACACCCTCCTGTAATATTGAGTTGTCTAAGGGAGGTGAATCTGTGCAATCCCCAGTCGACCAATGCCTTACAGATGTTAAGACTATTTATCTGAAGGGATGTAATTTTGGTGGGAAAGCCCCCTTCAGGGAAGGTTACTATGCCTGGACAGGATCTTAAATCCAATTTCTGAAGAGAGATAAGATTATGCATGCCATTTGGCAGGGCCTCCAGTTTCTCACAGTCGTTTAGGACAAGTTCTGTAAGTTTTCGGGAATCCAAACATCCTAGGAAGGAAACAAGATTTGGACAACCCCGTACAAGATCTTTTCTATACATTCAAAAGAGGTGTTGTCATGCAAACCTTCTGCCATTGACTCGAGCTTTGAACATTCATTGATACTAACGTATTTAAGAGACTTAGGTAGATTGCCACCCGATGTCAAAGAAACAAGATTTGGGCATTGAGAAATAACAAGATCCTCAAGAAGAGAGGTGTTCGGTACTGAAACTTCTCCCTCATCCACCACAGTTCTTAAATTGTTGCAAGACCGTATGATCAGTCGCTTTAAATTTGGAGGTAGTTGGACTTTAAAAATGTGTGTGAAAGCAGCACATTCTTCAATAAACATACTTTCAAGATACATATTACTGCTGCAAATCCATGCCTGAGGTAATGATTCCAACGCATCGCATCCCTTGATGTTAATGAACCTCAGATGGGAAGGAAGACCAGCATCTGGTGGAAAGGAAACAAGTTTTGGGCAGTTCATGACAGATATCTCTCTGAGAAAACGAAGGTTCTGCAGTGCTCGGGGTAGCTCCACTAAGCATTCACAACCATTCAACCTCAGACATCGAAGTCCACTAGGAATCCATAGCTCCCGTTGCCCGTCACCCTCATCTGCCTCCATAGAAGTAAAATTGGGACAGCTTTCAATCACCAATACACGAAGGAAGCCAAGATCTTGCTTTAATCTGATTCCCCTCTGCCAGAAAGAGATCACCTCTTCACAATTAACAATCTTCATTTCTTCTAAGTCTGGTATCTGTTGTGTAAACTGATCTGCTAAAAACATGCGCTCTATATCAGAAAGAATCAAAGATTTCAGATAGCTGAGGTCAATACCACTTTTCCAAACCACCTTTTTGCATCCATCAATTTCTAAATTTTGGAGCTTTGGAAGAGTTGAAATTGACAGCAAAATTTGCTTACATTCTTGAATGACAAGCCTTTCCAATGCCGGAAGATGTGCTGGTAATTTTCCCTGCAGTTTTGAACACCTTAGAATAGAAAGATATCGCAGTTGAGGAAATCCTTCCATCTCTTGATCGGTTCCATTTGAAGTCCAGTGTTTCCATTCTTCCATATCCTCGATACAAAGAGTCTTTAGTGATGGAAAAGGCAACGAGCAACTGCTTCCATAAAATTCTGGACCTATATTCTTAACTGCAGCCATTCCACTAATTAAAAGATCCTTAAGCAATGGTAGTTGCCCGACTGCCGGCAAGGAAGTAGACTTGTTACAATTCTCAAATCTTAGAAGCACCAGATTTGAGAATGAGGGATTGCCTAACCAAGTTGGAAATTTTGATACCATGTTACAAACAGAGAACTGATTGTAATTTTCTTATGTATTGCATTGACAAATTATACATCAATATATAGGAAAATAAAGAACTAATCTAGGAAATAAATAATCTAATCTAGGAAATAAAAAATCTAACTTCCTATTTTACAGATTTGTTCCTATTATGTATTGATTACAATCCTAATATCCTATTATAGATTTATTCACTTAATCATGCAATATCTGTAAGATTTTGCATGATTATCTACAACANGAGATGCAATGATTCCGCAAAGATAGAACCCTTAAACGTGATAGTTTTGACAATATATAGCAAACATTACAACCCACGGAACTTTTCAAGGCCATGTAGCTTCGAGGTATCAATGGTAAGAAAGTTCGTAAATATCTGGAGGCCTCAAAACTTTTAAAGCCATAAAATGAGCTAGCTGCGCAAGATGAGCTAGCTGTGCAAGATAAATGGCGAAGATTTTCTGAAATTCTCTCTATCTTGTCACCCTCTCCTATATTCTCCAACCTCAAGCATATTTTTCCAGCTGCCCATTGAGCAAGATCATTGATGAGGTCATGCATAAAAAAAAGTGAGCTGTTTATGCTTGATTGCTGAAAAAATGACCTCGACAAAAGCTCGAAAAAAGCCTTGTGGCCTACATCTTCCAATTGCATCTCAGTAATTTCATGTTGTAGAAAACCCTCAGCCATCCATAATAAAGTTATCTCCTTTTCTTGAAACTCATAACCCTTTGGAAATATGGAACAATATGCAAAACAACGCTTCAAATGAGAAGGAAGATAATGATAACTAATTCTAAGAGCTGGTATAACATTGCATGTCCCTTCAGGTAAATCCCATATTTTGCTGTTTAACACATATTCCCAATTATTGACATCATATTTACCTCGTAAAAGGCCACCAAGTGTTTTTACTGCCAAAGGCAAGCCCTTGCATTTTTTCACTATCTTCTCACCAACTTCCTTCAAGTGTTGATGCATGCTAAAATCTCTTGTCCCTAACGAGTGTTGAGTAAATATGCACAAACAATCATCATGTGACAACTCTCTCAGCGTGTAAGTTGGAAGAGTACTCATAATTGATGAAACGCTTTGATTCCGAGTCGTAACAAGAATCTTACTTCCTAGTGCGCCAACTTCAAAAGGAGAGCATAGGGCATTCCAGTCACCATAGTTCTCATTCCAAATGTCATCCGAAACCAGCAAAAACTTCCTTTTCAACAGTTGCTGCTTCAATTCAATCTGAAACATGTTTAGGTCATTATCATCGCTATTCCCAGGAGCAATAGACCTTAGAATTGATTTTGTCGTCTTAGTAATATCAAAATCGTCAGAAACATGAACCCATGCATTGATATCAAAATGATTTTCCACTTTGACATCATTGTAAATAAGCTGAGCAAGAGTAGTCTTGCCTATCCCTCCCATCCCTACTATAGAAATAACAGGGACTCCATCATCTGTACTCAAATCATCTCTTAGCAATGTTTTAAGTATTGCCTCCTTATCTTCTTCCCTACCATAAACTTTGGCTTCATTCACCAAAGAGGTTGTGGGCGGTGTTTGTTTGACTGTGTTAAACCTTCCTCCTAAATTTTTTTCCAGACCCAGTTGGTCTTTCTCTGTTGCAATATTTTGCAACCTGGTACTAATCTGTTTTATTTGGGCCACCATCTCGGAATTGAACTTAAAAGATCTTGAATTCAAGCTGGTGAAGTGAGAAGAAATTAATTTTCGTACCTTACTTTTGGTGGCTTGAGTTTGAGGTTCGAGCAACAACTTCCTCCGCAAACCTTCAGTGGCAAACTCATCCAGTATGTCTTCCACATCATAAGCCAAGTTTTGAAGTTCACCAAGCCAGATCTTCACTAACCTGTTCGTCATCTGCTTCTCATCTGCATCGTCAAGCACTGCACGAATCTTCATCAACATCTTTTCCCACTTTTTGAGATCAGCAAGGATTGGCTCTTGGCATCCAAATCGCAGAAGCACATCTGAAACCAACTTTTCTATCAGCATCTCAATGGTGACTGAAAGAACTGCCTCCCCAATTACAGACATGATGTTTTTTTGTGAAAAAAAAAAAAAAGGACTTGTGAAAATTGAAGTACAGAAAATCTGCAGAAGATTGAATTGAAAGGACGAACTTTTAGTTTGGTTTGTGCAAATGATGAACGCCCTGTTCGTGTTTGTGACTGAGTTGGTGATAATTGAGTGCTGAGTCGGCATTCACATCTGGTAGAGAAAAAATTTATTTCAGTCATCAAACAAAAGCCTTCCCCACAATTGCTCCGTAACTTCCCCGTAATTTACACTAACATTTTTAGTCTGTAAATTTTTATTATAAAAAACACTTATACTAGTTTATTTAATATGAATTGTTAATAGATGTGGGCAAAAATGAGATCCAATCGGTCCCAGGCCTCGACTCAATGGGTTCAATCCCAAATTGGGAGCGGTTTTTTTTGGGTCCAAGCCCAAATTCCCACCTCTAGTTGTGTACACTACCATTCTTCCCAATAGATACAACAGCAGCCCAACCAGACCTATTCATAGCCTTTTGGTGTCTAATACTTTTGGCAATAATTCAAATATATCCTACTAAATATTCCATCTTTTTTTTTTTTTCATCCTAGCTTTCTTCGTTATTGGTGCTGCCTCTACTATTATCAATTCTAAAATTCTTCTATCCTCTCAAAGAAAATTCCAAAAAATTATTTTTATACTACAAATAGTGAGATTTTTGCTACTTACCATAAAATTTTTGTATAAGAATTACAAGAAAAAGATATGGTTCTTTGTTTCGATGGTTATTCTAAACTTCATAAGCTTATAATACTCTCCAATAGTATTCGTTATAAAATATTTTTCAATTCTATACTAAAAAGCCTAAATTATCACAATATTTTATTGATACTCTTGATAATTTAAAATGACATGAACTTGGGAAACAACATAACAGTGGCATGCATCCATCTAAGAAAAACCACAATAGGGAACTCACTTCCACAAATACAAGTAAAACATTTTTTTTCTGAAAGTTATTGTATAACTTGTTTATCGTCTAACATGGAAAACTCACCTAAACTAACTCCATAATTAATTATAAATCAATTCCTTTTATTTACAAAATAAACAATTACCCTTTTCTTTTTAAATTAAAGATAATTGTCTTACCATATGTTTGTACTAAAAAATAAAATACTTACTTATTTTGATGCATATTACGATTAAAAAAAATATTATTTCTATTATATCAACTTCTAAATTTTTTATTTCTATTATATTATATCAACTTCTAATGTTAACATATGCCCTCAAGTACGTGTTAAAGACAATCTCTATTAAGAATTAATGTGTTATTAATTGATTATCTTAACATGTGTGAAGAGGACATACCTTAAGAAAAATATAAAAAAATTTTACTTAATCTTAATGTATATTATATGCGAAAAAAAAAAATAAATAAATAAATAATCTTTAACTGAGATGGTTGCTGTTGCGCCAGGGGCACTCCTGTTGCTAAAGCCAAAGCAGAAGCAGGGGTGTTTTGTATCCTCTGGGTATCCTTTTTACAGCTCTGTTCTACAAATTAACTCTGTTTTATCAGAAGAGCGGATGTCTGCTATAACAAGGTTCTACACAACAAAAAGAGATTTTCTTCATCTTTTTATTATTGGAGAACAGAGATGTTCACAATATACTTATAATAGTCATTGGCTTGACAAAAATCGTGTATGAAGAAGTCACCAGTCACCATCGACTTTGCTCCAATTTTTTTGTTGTTGCCACCTTAAATGCAGGATATAAAGAGGAAGCTACTTCCTTCTTTAGTTTTTAAGTCTTCATAGCTTTGTCTGCAAGAAAAATAGGACGGTTACTTTCAAAACTATTCTAAAGAAGCTGCTCCTTTTCAAGAAACAGTCATATCTGAAATTTGGGGACGTTAAACAGCAGAAACCAACTAAACATACTTGGCAAGTCATATAGACAATCTCTTATAGCTCCATCTTCATCAGCAAGAAATTCTGTCATCCACAATCATCAGAGCTCCATCTTGATCAAAATAGGCAATCTGTCATAGCTCAAGAACGAGGTTTAGTTTATTATGCCGGATAATGATGGAACATATTTGATGAGGATGAAAATGAAACTTTATTACCTTGATACTCAGCAACCTATCCCCAGCAATTACAAGAACAATAAGAGTCTGCATTCCTGACTGCTTGAAAACCAACATTCCTTTGATGACAATACATAATGTGCCATTTTCTGAAGAGAAATAGATATATTTCCTTGCCCAACTGCATAGATTTTATAGTGATATAATCTAAGAAAAAGTTCCCTTGAAACCATAGGACAAGCAAGTCTGACCCTATGATGAACCAAAGTAGTGGAAGGTCATCCTAACCGATTGACTTATGGAATGGAAGAACCTTAACATAAACTACTTTACCTGCTCACCATCTGCAGTATCACATAAACCTTTTTCATTTGTTCAACCAGACCACTATCATTGCTTGATAGAACTTTACATCTGATGTTATCTCTGATGCTCCGTTGATTATGTCTTCAGTTAATGAAGGTCAACTGAAGACATAACAGCAGGTTTATCAATCAAAATGAAGGTCAACAGCAAGTTTATCTTCAGTTCACACAAAGGACTAATCATAAAACACAAATATATATTTACTCTAGAAAGAAATAAGTTCACCTATACATCTAAAGCTAGCATAAGGTATTGGTATTGAGTTTTACCTGTGTAAAATTTTGCTTAATAGAAAATTGATTATTCTAATTCCAATTGGGTGGCATTTGACCGATGGCATCATTTTACAAATTGGTACAGGTATAACAAATGCTTTGATCAATACGAGAAAGACCTTTGATGAGTCTTTTGTTTGTGAAGCCGAGGATGTGCCCATACTTTCAACTAGTGTTGCCTATGGTTTTTACATGGCAGTTTCTAGCAACCTAAGGTAATTATTATCAGCATATAATATAATTTTCTCCATGAGGTTACATAATATTTCATGTCCTTACTATATCTCAAATTTTGAGGTAAGCCAGAATGATTATCCTAAGTTGTCTTTAACAAATTAAGTTGGGGACATAATTTTACACACATCAATGCTATTTCAGCACAAAATATTATCTGCTCTTAATACTTGTGCCCTTTGCCTCGATTTTTCATCTAAGAAGGCCTTTTTATCTTTTCTGGGTTATAAATTTGCATAGATGATGACTAGATTAATGGAAAATATTTTGGAGTTAAGGGTTCAAAATAATCACAACAAGTCTGAAGATGTAATGTCAGTAAGGATCTGAGTAAGATTTCTCCTATGTAACTCTAATTGGCAGATGGCTAGAAGTTGTTGAGGATATAATTTTGGGATGACAAAATGCTTTTCATCAAGATATATGCCAATTCAGTTTTATAATTATGCTAGCAAGAGAATTCCAATACTCGGGAAAAAAGAAGTACAAATAACTTTAATATGGATGATTCTCTACCCTAATCATCCTTCAAAAGATGAAAGTTAGCTCTTAACAAAAGGATGACCATTCTTTGTTTAACAGGTATCTAGTTCTTGTAGGAATTATTGAACAATGGATTTTGGAGCCATTGTTACACTAGCATAAGCTTATACTCAGTGCAATATGTTTTGCTGTTCGAACCGGCAACACGTTTTTGGGATCACTGATGTAAGATTTTTGGAACTCTATGCTAGGGCCATATCATATTAATTTGCTCAATTTTCGTCATTTCAGTGTTTGAACTTTGCATGTAATTTATGAGCAGGTGGGTGGATTATTCATGGTGGGTTTGAATCCAAAAGATAAGGGAGTAGAACATGGAGGAAAACACTTGCTTGGTTACACTGTTCCCTATCAATTTTTTCTTCTTTTCTTTCAAGAGGATCACAGAGTACACAAGGATGGATCAATGGTGCTGTTTGTTTTATTTGTCATATGTTGATTCTGTATAGTTAAACCCATGACTAAAAATATTCATGACTGCGGAGCTTATTGAGACCAATAAATTTTGTGAATTCCAAATCATTATTCATTTGTCAACTGCCGCAGAAAATCCATTTTTTTTTAGTGGCTTGTATATATGCCATGCCAAGTTTAATTAACCACGGATCCTAAAGGCCTAAAGGTTATGAATTTGGTTGCTGAATTATGAGGTGCTTATTTTCAGAGCACCCTGAAACAATCAGTAGTAACTAAAGCAATTCTGTTGGAAACCAAGAAATTCCTTGAATTTCCAGATATTCTCATCAAACAAATTGTTGCAGAAAATCCTCCATTAAAATTCATATAATATATTGATCACTGTTACTAATTTCAATTATCAGTTAATGATAAATGTCTAAGAAATGTAGTACAACCAACAATTGAATTTGCTTGCTTAAACAATGAGGTGTTCATTCTCAAACAAATTATCAGTGCAAAGCAAGTGAATGTGAAAAGTGAACACATAAGAGAGATTGGCTGTTTGGATTCACAGAAAATTAGTGAGAATTGACGGAGATCCCATGGAATTAAACAAGAACATAAAATATTTGATGCGTGTTACTTAATATAATCACACTAACTATTTCATGATCAAATCACTTATGGAGATGATCTACAACGAAATAATAACATGATGTTATCAATAATTCAACAATATAAAACCATCTACGACGTCAATAAGGGTTTATGGACAAAACTGCAATAACCCCTAAGAGCATAATTATGTAAGTCACAACAAAACTGATATAGAATATATCTATATCAATGAAATTATTGTCTTCTCCACTAATACTTGAATCTTTTGGCCTATGTAATGGTGATTCAATTGCATTGCAACTTTATGGCAAAGAAATGGATTTCCCTCATAACTACCTTCTTCAAAAGTTCCAAATTGTGCAATCCTATCAAGGGTTTTGCCAGATAAATTATTGTGTGCCACTCTAAAAACTGTCAAATTATCAGGAATTCCTCCAATTTGGACATGTCCAAACTCTCTAATGAGTTATGTCACCAAATGAAGAGGGAATGCTACCATTTAA